AACAAGAACAAGCAAATCCCAAAACAAATAGAAGGAGAGAAATAATAAAAATAAGAGCTGAAATCAACGAAATAGAAACCAAAAAAACCATACAAAGAATTAATGAAACAAAAAGTTGGTTCTTTGAAAAAATAAACAAGATCGATAGACCCCTGGCAAACCTGACTAAAATGAGGAGAGAAAAAACCCAAATTAGTAGAATCAGGAATGCAAAAGGGGAGATAACAACAAACACCATGGAAGTCCAGGAAATCATCAGAGACTACTTTGAGAACCTATATTCAAATAAATTTGAAAATCTAAAAGAAATGGACAGATTTCTAGATACATATGATCATCCAAAACTGAACCAAGAGGAAATTAATCACCTGAATAGACCTATAACACAAAATGAAATTGAAGCAGCAATCAAGAGTCTCCCCAAAAAGAAAAGTCCAGGACCTGATGGATTCTCTGCTGAATTCTATCAGACCTTTAAAGAAGAACTGATACCAACCCTCCTTAAACTGTTCCATGAAATAGAAAGGGAAGGAAAACTGCCAAACACATTTTATGAAGCCAGTATTACACTTATCCCAAAACCAGGCAAAGACACCTCCAAAAAGGAGAACTATAGGCCAATCTCCTTAATGAACATTGATGCAAAAATCCTCAACAAAATAATGGCAAACGAATTCAGCAACACATCAAAAAGATTATTCACCACGACCAGTAGGCTTCATCCCAGGGATGCAGGGGTGGTTCAACATACGAAAATCAATAAACGTAATAAACCACATTAACAGAAGCAAAGACAAAAACCACTTGATCATCTCAATAGATGCAGAAAAAGCCTTTGATAAGATCCAACATCATTTCATGATAAAAGCTCTAAGAAAACTAGGAATAGAAGGAAAGTTCCTCAACATTATAAAAGCTATATATGACAAACCTACAGCCAGCATTATACTTAACGGAGAAAAATTAAAACCATTCCCTCTAAAATCAGGAACCAGACAAGGATGCCCACTATCTCCACTCCTATTCAACATAGTACTGGAATTCCTAGCCAGAGCAATTAGGCAAGAAGAAGGAATAAAAGGAATACAAATAGGTAAAGAAACTGTCAAAATATCCCTATTTGCAGACGACATGATCCTATACCTTAAAGACCCAAAAAACTCTACTCAGAAGCTTCTAGACATCATCAATAGCTATAGCAAGGTAGCAGGATATAAAATCAACATAGAAAAATCATTAGCATTTCTATACACTAACAATGAGCAAACGGAAAAAGAATGTATGAAAACAATTCCATTTACAATAGCCTCAAAAAAAATCAAATACCTAGGTGTAAACCTAACAAAAGATGTGAAAGACCTCTACAAGGAAAACTATACACTTCTGAAGAAAGAGATTGAGGAAGACTATAGAAAGTGGAGAGATCTCCCATGCTCATGGATTGGTAGAATCAACATAGTAAAAATGTCGATACTCCCAAAAGTAATCTACATGTTTAATGCAATTCCCATCAAAATTCCAATGACATTCATTAAAGAGATTGAAAAATCTACTGTTAAATTTATATGGAAACACAAGAGGCCACGAATAGCCAAGGCAATACTCAGTCAAAAGAACAATGCAGGAGGTATCACAATACCTGACTTCAAACTATATTACAAAGCAATAACAATAAAAACAGCATGGTACTGGCACAAAAACAGACATGAAGACCAGTGGAACAGAATAGAGGATCCAGATATGAAGCCACACAACTATAAGCAACTTATCTTTGACAAAGGAGCTAAAAATATACGATGGAGAAATAGCAGCCTCTTCAACAAAAACTGCTGGGAAAACTGGTTAGCAGTCTGCAAAAAACTGAAACTAGATCCATGTATATCACCCTATACCAAGATTAACTCAAAATGGATCAAGGATCTTAATATCAGACCCCAAACTCTTAAGTTGATACAAGAAAGAGTAGGAAATACTCTGGAGTTAGTAGGTATAGGTAAGAACTTTCTCAATGAAACCCCAGCAGCACAGCAACTAAGAGATAGCATAGATAAATGGGACCTCATAAAACTAAAAAGCTTCTGTTCATCAAAAGAAATGGTCTCTAAACTGAAGAGAACACCCACAGAGTGGGAGAAAATATTTGCCAACTATACATCAGACAAAGGACTGATAACCAGAATATACAGGGAACTTAAAAAACTAAATTCTCCCAAAACTAATGAACCAATAAAGAAATGGGCAGTGAACTAAACAGAACTTTCTCAAAAGAAGAAATTCAAATGGCCAGAAAACACATGAAAAAATGCTCACCATCTCTAGCAATAAAGGAAATGCAAATTAAAACCACACTAAGATTCCACCTCACCCCTGTTAGAATAGCCATCATCAGCAACACCACCAACAACAGGTGTTGGCGAGGATGCGGGGAAAAAGGAACCCTCTTACACTGTTGGTGGGAATGTAGACTAGTACAACCACTCTGGAAAAAAATTTGGAGGCTACTTAAAAAGCTGGACATCGATCTACCATTTGATCCAGCAATACCACTCTTGGGGATATACCCAAAAGACTGTTACTCCAGAGGCACCTGCACATCCATGTTTATTGCGGCACTATTCACAATAGCCAAGTTATGGAAACAGCCAAGATGCCCCAGCACTGACGAATGGATTAAGAAAATGTGGTATCTATACACAATGGAATTTTATGCAGCCATGAAGAAGAACGAAATGTTATCATTCGCTGGTAAATGGATGGAATTGGAGAACATCATTCTGAGTGAGGTTAGCCTGGCCAAAAGACCAAAAATCGTATGTTCTCCCTCATATGTGGACATTAGATCAAGGGCAAACACAACAAGGGGATTGGACTATGAGCACATGATAAAAGCGAGAGCACACAAGGGAGGGGTGAGGATAGGTAAGACACCTAAAAAACTAGCTAGCATTTGTTGCCCTTAATGCAGAGAAACTAAAGCAGATACCTTAAAGCAACTGAGGCCAATAGGAAAAGGGGACCAGGAACTAGAGAAAAGGTTAGATCAAAAAGAATTAACCTAGAAGGTACCACCCACGCACAGGAAATCAATGTGAGTCAATGCCCTGTATAGCTATCCTTATCTCAACCAGCAAAACCCCTTGTTCCTTCCTATTATTGCTTATACTCTCTCTACAACAAAATTAGAGATAAGGGCAAAATAGTTTCTGCTGGGTATTGAGGGGGGGAGCGGGAGGGGGTGGAGTGGGTGGTAAGGGAGGGGGTGGGGGCAGGGGGGAGAAATAAACCAAGCCTTGTATGCACATATGAATAATAAAAGAAAAAAGAAAAAAAAAAAAAAAAAAGAATATCAGTGAATAATCATTATTGCTTGAGCAGTGGTACAGTCCAATAAACCAATAAAGAGAGGACGGGTCACACAAATTTGTTCAGCAATTTGTCCCATGTGAGTATCTCACCAAAAAAGGGGGAAGATATACTAAACTTGTTAAATCCTGTCTTAAATCTATTTAAAATAAAAAATTTTAAAACTTGTTGCTTAGATTATACTTACATGCATAAGGACTAACTTATATGTCTGGAAATCTAGACACATATGTGAATTAATAAAGTGAAAAACATGTTAGCCAGAGTCTTTGGAACACTGAGAATTTCAGGCTCATCATACTAAGAAACCAAGTGTTAAATTTTGGCTGGGCTCAAATAGTAACACTTTAAAAGCCTGTTTATATAGAAAAAAGATACCTGTTGAAACCATTTCTTGCATGGGAAGGGGGTGAATAAAAGAGAATGTTGGAGAGGGTGATTCAAATATGATATATTTGATATACTGTAAGAACTTTTGTAAATGCCACAATGCACCCCTAACCCAGCGCAACAATACAATAAATAAATAAAAGCCTGTTTGTTTAGAACTATATAATGAAGTCTGTTGGAAATAATCCTTAACTATCTAACCATGAGAAACCATCACTACTGTATGAAAGCCTTACAAACTGTAACGCCTCAAACAGAATTTGAAATGTATAGGTGAAACAAACTCAACACTCAACACTAATTCCTTTCTTTTTTTTGGGTGGAGCTGGGGATTGAATACAGGATCTTCAGCATGCTAGACAAGAGCTCTACTACTGAGCTACACTCCATCATCCCTTAATTTAGCCTTACTTGGATAACACAAATGATCTTTTCAGGCTATTTTAGAATTTAAAACAACTAAGGTGTTTTCTTTTTGAAAAATTAAAAAACTTGAGCAAGCTCACTATTAGTTTGTTTGAACAATGGGTTCCAGGGTTCAAAATAGCAGGTCTTATTGGACAGAACTGCATATCCTTCACTCAATTTTCAGATGTTAAAGGTAGGTCAGATATCTGGTACTATTATTATTATATTATTATTTTTGGTAGTATTGGAGTTTTGACCTCAGGGCGTTGTGCTTGCTGGGCAGGCATTCTATCACTTGAGCCACTCCACCAGTCCTTTTTTCTGTGTGGAGTATTTTCAAGAGAGGGCCTTGAGAACTATTTGCCTAGGCTGGCCACCAGTACCAGGCTTGGATTATTCATAACAGCTGGGTAAATTAACAGTTCTTTATTAACCAGATTTAGAGTTATATTTATTGTCTGCTGTATGTACCAGGTAAGACATACCTTGTACTCATCTAAATTTTTTCATAAAACTGGCCTCATTATAAATAAACAAAAGCATCTGATTAATTATTCTTTGCTGTCATTTGGCCATAAATTAAGGAAGACTAGACCACTACAGGATCCAGGCATGCTACAGTCATTCTGCTGGACAATCATAGTGGAATGGGATCCTGGTATGTCACTAGACTTGTCCTGCCTAATTGCTTTTATCAATCTAGTGAGCCACCCAAAAAAATCAGTTGAGTTTTACTAAAAATGAAAACTAGAGACTTATATTTATTTAAGTTAAGCAACTTATATTTTACCTTTCCCAACTAAACCAGCTAACGGAAGAGACACATTAGAAAACCATACCTTCTTGGTTTCAAATTGTGCTTCTTCCTGACAGCACCCCCTGCAATCAGGATCCAGCTGAAGTAGGCTGAACTGTCCAAGAAGGTCACAAGAGCTGCAGAGCAAGTTGCTAGAGAAGCCTAACTCTCTGCATGCCTCCGATGAAAACTCTGCCCCGAAAGCAGACACCTGAAAATAAAAACAAGGAATAAAACACAACCTCATGTTTACATTATAAAGCTTCCAAAAAAGAGAGAGAGATAATGAGGTTGTTAAAATCTAACACACTGGAGATGAGTAACTGAGATGTTTCATTTGGAGATAAATTCTTAAGTATTTTTGACTCTATAACATTACACAAATGCTTGGTCCTTCCTATCTCTCCTACAGTCTTTTTCTTAAAAATAAGACATCTTCAGTGATAGATGAATAAAAAGACCTATCATTTTTATATGTACATTACACGTCTTTCACTAAACATTCAGTAGCTTTTTAAAAGGAATTTCCTTACAAGAAAAAAAAGAATCCTTATTTAATTTTAAGGACTTAGCACCTGTTTATTTGGATATATGGAAAAACATAAACTTATCTGCAGACACATCCAGTAGGGGAAGGAAAAAGATGGGGTCAGGGAAGCCAGGAGCACATCAGAAATCAAACTTTTGGTTTCAGGTATTAGCTCTACCATTTGTAAGATGTGTAACCTTGGGCCAGCTATCCTGCCTAAGTTTTAATTTCTACCCCGAAAAGCCAAGGAGCAATATTTTCTACATATAATACTGCTGTAGAGATTAAATGGAATGACTTAACACAAGCAATCAGAATGACAAAGGCAGGTTTTGAACCCTCAGCTCTCTTCTCTCACTCACCTTCCTCTCATCTCTCAGTGAACAAGGTCGCTCATTTGCCTAAAGCCAATTCTACCTGTACCTTGGATTCTATCGTCGCTCATATTTGCAGGGATTTAATTTGATCGATAACTCAGACCTACAATACATTCCAGACCTATGGTTTTAATTGCTATCACCACATTCTGTCATTTCTGAACTGTTACTGTAACCTGGTTTCTTATGTATCACTTTACTAAAGTTGCCAAAAATTGTCAAATGCAAAGACATTCAAACCTGTTCTACTTTGGCTGTTCTTTAAACAGGCTTGTCCTCCTTTTCTTCTTTCTTCCATACCATCTCTTAGGCGATGTTTCTTCCCACTGTTCTGTTTTTGGCTCTCTTTGCTTTACATACTTTTTATGGAAGATCACAACTTTATCCATGGCTTCAAACACCATTTACTGAAAGCCCCCAAATCTTTCTTGAGTATCAAGCTTCCAGAGCCAACAGCCTACTTGATTCTGATTTAGATGCTGCATATGCATTGCAAAGTTTAAATCTCCAACAGTGAAATTTGTCTTTTTTAAGTTTAGTATTCAGTATCTTAGTAAAATGGCACCATTTCCCTAACTACCTAGTTTCCCACGTCAGTTACCCTACTCTTTGTGATTCTCACAACTAATTACTCAATGCATTTCCAAAATACTGTCCTTTAAAGAGCTCTCAAATCTTTTCCTTCCTCAGTGGCTTAAAAGATCACTGCCTGTTCTGTCTCATGACTTTCCCAATCCTATATTTCTTAGCTATAATGAATTCATGTAGTACCCCGAAGTATAAAATTCCTATTCCAAACCTTTGCCTACACTTTTCTCTACATCTAAGATTCTTTTATCACTTTTCCACCTTGTTAATTCCTACTTCTAAGAACCTTGTCAGTGACTGTTTTCTAGGAAGACCGCTCTGTAAGAATCAGACCTCAATTTTAGTCATATTACTTTTCTTCTTTTAGAAATTTGTGCATGGCTGTAAACAGTACAGTCCTAACACTGTACTATATAAACCTAGAGTTTTCTGACTTCCCAACAATACTGTTTTTCTGACGACAAGCACTAAGTTGTTTCTCTGTATTCCCAGCACCTATGCTAGTTCTTAGGTTTGCTGAATAAATGAATTGGTCAAAACCATAGTCTCAAATAGAGGGAATTTCAGATTTGACTGCAACTTTAAATGAATGGCCAGAGAGCAAGGATGTTAGGCCTTTGGTGGCGACATGGCTTGTTACGAAGACTCAACTACTGCAGTACAAAAGCAATGGTAGAAAGCACGTAAGTGAGCCGGTGTGCTGTGTTCCCTAAAGGACAAATATGGGCGATTTGGCCCACCAGCTATAGTTGGTCAACCCTCTTTTAAACTGAGTAGATAAAAATTCATTGACATGCAGTTTCTGGTGTTTAGGGCAAAAATTCTGACTTGAATACCACAGACCAGGCTGGGCCAACCATGATAAGTCATGGTGAAGAGCACAGAAAGATTTATTCAATGTTGCATGTGGGAAGGACAAATAAAGGGTGACCCCAATCTATCTACGGGTACTGATATGATCTTTAGAATTAAATAGAGGAAGAACTGTGGTAGGGGGCAAAAGTATTCACAATTATGCAGTGTGAAGGACAAAGGTATGGGGGTCTGGTTCATCATTATCTCAATAGTGGTCAGGCAGAGCCTGAACAAAGGTGACTACAGAAAAAATGGCTCAGAACAGAAAAGACAAATGCAAAATGGAGGCAAAAGATGCCAAGTTTTTATCTTGCTTTTAGCTATCCACTAGACATTTGCAGGCCCAAGTGAAGAGTCAGTGCTTTTAGTAAAAGCAGTTTCTAAGTACCTGTTATAATTTTCCAATGAAAATATTGGTAGCATAGTTATGCAAAAACTGATTATCCCATTGGTCTTATATTAGTCAATACTTCTAATGTGACACCTCACATTCTTTTGCCCTATCGCTGTAATAATGTAATAATCTTCAAAGTGGGAAGGACCTTTGAGTTTATTGACTATGGCTGATCCTCTAGTTTAACTAAGGAACTTGTTATTGTACTAGTACTTTAGGTCATTTTCCATGAGTGAAGTGATCTGCAAAATTCCTTCACAGGTTAATTTGAAAATCAGGGGTAGTAATGTGGCAGACTGTACTTTCTAAAGATGGCTGCATCAAGTGTATGTATCATCCCACATGTTCTTACAATGCAACTGGCAGTTTTCCAATGCGAAGTATATGCGGGTCTATGTTCCTTTCTCTTAAATGTGGACAGTTGCTGACCAAGGCAGTACAAAAACAGTGACAGTATGTGATTCTGGGGATACATCATTTAAAAAAAAAAAAAAAAGAAAAGAAAAGCCTGTCTGACCAGTCTCTCCCTCTCTCTCTGGGAACATCAACTTTGGAACTTAGCCAAAGAAGCCTAAGAGACAACATGGACAGGCCCATGCAGAGAGTGACCGAGAGCCCAACTGACAATCAGCATCAACTACTGCAGGTGGGAGTGAAGAGCCTTCAGAGTTCAACTGAGGTCTGAGGTACCATGGGACAGAAAAGCCATCCCTGCTGTGCCCAGCCTGAACTGCTGATCCACTGAGTCTGAAAGCAAAATAAACTGTTATACACCACTAAATTTAGGGTAATCTGTTTTGCAGCTATAGTTATGAAACATGCAATAAAAATGAATTCACCTTGAAAACCATGAACTGCCTAAGAAATTTATGAAACTATTATCAAAGCTTGTTTAACAAAATGAGAATCTCAAAGGAATAAGCATGCAATTGTACTATTTGGTTTTATTCTGGCATTTCTGAGGCAGAATGAATATTTTGAAATCTGAAGACAAACTTGACTCAAATGCTAACTTTACCCTTAACTTCTGAACAGAGAATTATCACTAATTTCAGTTTGGGAGATTAAACAACAAAGTGCCCAGTACAAAAAGAGTACTTAATAAGTGTTAATATTATTTCCACCTTCCACAGTGTGGTGAAAACACACTCAATTTTAACCATTACATAGGGGATTCAGCATATGTACAGGGGAGATAAAAGGTATCTTCAGTTTCAGGAGTGAATGCCTTATTTTTTAAAAAGCTATTCATTGGTTTTGTAGATTCGAGGTTTTGAAACTAAAGAACATTCAGAATGTATGTTAAAGCAACATCACAGATAACTACCAAATGCTAAATAATATACAAAAGTTTAAAATCATAAATTATGCCTTCTATCCTTTTATTGCCAAAAATAACTAAATAGTATTTACATTTGCACATTAAGGCCAAATATTAAATTTTAAAATAATTAGCCATGTTTATAAAAAAGACAAGATTCTCAGGACAGGATCCTGACTGGGATAACCATTTAAACTTTCTCCATTTGAAAGTAGGATCAACAAACTAAGAGATTCATTCCTTTCTTTTCTGTATATATGATGTGTATTACTTATCTCCTCACTGGTCTTTTTTTCTTTTGATGGTAATAGGGTTTGAACTCAGAGCCTAGTGCTTGCTTGGCAGGCATTCTACCACTTGAGCTATCACCCCAGTAATTTTTGCTTTAGTTACCTTTTTTGATAGGGACTTAAGATTTTCCCTGTGGACTGCCTCAGACTGCAATCCTACCTATACCTCCAGTGAAGCTGGCATTATAATTAAGTTCTACCATACCTGGATTATTGGTTGAGATGGGTTTTTTTTTTTGGCGTGGGTTGGCTTAGGACCATGATCCTCCTGATCTCTACCTCATGAGTAGTGCTCAGGAGCAAGTACTACCACATCTGGCCTCTTTACTGATATTTACTTTGGGGAAACTCACAGGTTACTCGCATAATTCTAAACAGATTTCAAATCTGAGATAAAAGCAAATAAATGGGTTTAGAGAATGAACACCAACATAATGAATACCAGAAACATAGCCATTGCAGGAAGTACCAGATATTTTGCTAAGCACTTTACATTATATTCCACTGAATTTAACCACCATAGGGAATAGGTATTAATCACTCCCATTTCACAGAGAAGGAAATAGTGGTTTAGGATACATAATTTGCCTAAGATGACACAAGAAACATGATTAATATTAAGATCCTAATCCTGGCCTGCCTCAAAACCTAAGCAATGATTTCAATAGCTTATCTCTACCAAGGCTCAAGTAGAGGCTTAATTCCCCCACAGAGCAGTGTTGGGTGATATTGGGGTCCTCAGCCTTTCCTATAGGATAGGTTAGGTATTTGCAGGAGTTTTCTCTCTTTCACATGCTGCCACTTCCCCTTCTGCTTTCTATTATGAGTTGAAATAGCCTAAGGCTCTCACCAGATGTGGTCCCCCAAAACTTAGCCTTCCCAGGTTCTAGAAGTATAATTCAAAATAAGAATATTTTCATTATAAATTACCTGGTCTCAGGTATTGTGCTATAGTAACAGAAAACAGACTAAAATAACCTCTAACTAACCACTGTTATTGATAATCATATTACATGAAATCCATGACCTGCCCTAGTTACACATCATTAAGAATAACAAAAATGCTGGCAATTTTAATTGTACCACCTGATTGCTTTTAAGACACATTGAGATATTTTCATCTGTAAAGACATGGGGTGGGAGTGGAGTGTCTCAGAATTAATGATACACACATCATTCTATAGTGCTTTTCAAAACAGTGCCTTTCTGAATGAGGAAATATTGTATATGATCTGAATGAAGGATTGAATACCACTTAGTTTTGGGGAGCTTTATGAAACAGCTCCCTTTGGCCACACCAAAATATCATTTCTCTAATCCTTAAGCACACTCAGAATATACTTTCATATTCTCCTCCCTGATGTCACCTCACTGAAATACAACTAAAATACTGTTAACCATGCATTGCCACTAACTTGAAATGACAACCACTCAAAGGCACAGATAGTTAAAAAAAACCTTCAACTTGCCTAGTCTTGAGGATACTCCTCCCATGGCCTTGGGCAAGCACTCTACCACTGGAGCTGTCTTGTTTTTGAGAAAGGGTCTCACTAAATTTGCTAGGGTTGGCCTCAAACTCAAGATTCTCCTACATTACCTCCCATGTAGCTGAAATTAGGCATGAATTTCTATTGCCTTCCAATAGTTTCATCTTTTATCTATAGCAGTATCCCCACCACAAGGTGTCAAGTAATTGTTCTCTTACTCCTTTTTATATGTCAAATTCCAAAGATTTGGCTAATTTTTACTACTGCCAAATACTATTTCTAGTTGGTCTTTTCCCCCTTTGACCAACTGTGAAGTGCAAGAGCTTTTTGTTGTTTTTTAACTTCTTAATGCTTTTCCAAAAATGCTCGATACTCCTTTTCATTTTTCAGGTTTTTATCTCTTCTCTTAAAAACATCAGCCATTACAGAAGAGACAGGAATAAACCAACTGTGTGTGTGTATGTATAAATATATACACACACACACACACACACATTTTTTTTTTTTTTTTTTGTGGGACTGGGGTTTGAACTGAGGGCTTTTCACGTACAAAGCAGGTGTTCTACTGCTTGAGCCACACCTCCAGCCCACTTTGCTCTGGTTATTTTGGGTGGAGTTTCTTGCATCTTTGCCTAGGCTAGCCTCAAACCTTCATCGCCCTGATCCTAGTCTCCCAAGAGGCTAGAATTATAGGCATGAGCCACTGGTGGCCACTGGCTGATAATAGTTTATGAGTAGGTTTCAAACTTCCTTATGTGTTGTCAGCCTTTTGTTTGTGGATTCCCTAATTCATTCATCAAACATCTTACATGTCAGAGAACTTGTCCTTCCTTATGGTGGAGTCCAGTTAACCCAGTGGGAAAACGCCATGTATCAAGAAATTGTAATGGAAAACCCAAAAAGAACCTGAGAGAACAAGATCTTATCATCATGGAGCACAAGAATGCCTCCTAATTTAGACTTGGCGTATAGAGACGCTTTTCCCGAGGAAGCAATTTCTTTGCTGAAAACTGAAGGAATAGAGTTGAGTAGAAGACAGCTATGCTTTTTGTATGAAAACAGGAGGAGAGGATGGGAAGCAATACCTAGAAAATAGAAGCACCATGTTAAAGGTCTGGTGATGGAGAACACATTATATAAAATATACTAAAAACAAGCGATTCCCCAATTCTCCATTTCTACCTTTTTGCTCTCCCAGTAGAAGCAAATACTAGAAATAAGCCTTGATAGACAAATAGTGTCTCATTAAGGAACATTTGGACAGACTGTACCTTAGAAGAGAGGGGGAAAAAAAAAGAAAAGCAAGAGGGAACTTCTGAAGAGTTTTAATCATGATAGATTAAAGTTTTAAAAAGACCACTCTGAATATACTGTAGAGACTCCAGAGAGAAAATGAGGAGAAAGCAGTTAATAAAACTCTTATGGTAATTTCAGGCAAGCAAAGACACTGGCCTGAACTTAAAGCATTATCTCCAGAAACAGAATTAAGTGGACTGGCTTAGAGAATCTTAAAGGTTTAATCACTAATTTGATTCAAAGTAAAAGGAAAGAGAATTTAGGAGGACCAGTTTCTGCCTTGGGCAATTGAGATTAGTAAAGTCTACCATTTAGATTCTGAATACAGACAGAGATAATTCAAAGTGCAAAAACCAGGAGGCTGTTATTTCTTAGGAGAGATGTCTGTAGCCTGAGAGCTTAATAATTAGTTAACTGATTTCAGAGATAATGAGGAAGGAAAACCAGCAAGATTAAGTAGTTGCTTGAATGTATGTGAATTACATAAGGTAAGAAAGGAGTCAAAGATGACCTCCAAAGTTTCTGACTTGGATCCTGTGGATGATCACTGTGGTATACGGTTTATCAGTCATAAATTCCTTCTATCCTGTTATGCACACTTTCCACTGTGACTCTGTGACTTCTCCATGTAGAGATGGAGTCTATTTTAAACATGGACTTTTACATGACAGAAGTGATATATATGATTTTCAAGGCAAGGCCTTAGGAGGCATCTTGAGCTTTTGCTCTTTTGGAGCATTGTCTTCAGACAGTGTGAAGCATTAGTGTAGTCTGAGGATGAGACATCAAAAGGAGGACCAAGTGCCCCAGCTGGCAGCACCAACCATGAAAGAAGGTGCCCTTGGACTTCCAGTTCAGCTAGCTTAGCTCAGCAGTGCATAAATGAGGCTGGAGGAACTGCTCCACTGACCCACAGAATGGTGGGAAAATCGTTGTTTTAAGCCAATTTTAGCTAAGCATGGTGACTAATGCCTGCAACCTAGCTACCCTGTAAGAGGAGATGGGGAGGATCATGGTCAGATCCCAAAACGTGGGATCCTACTAGAAAAATGCCTAAAGCAAAAAGAGCTGGGGGGGTTTCAGTTACTGAGAACCTGGAAAAAGGAAAAATAAAGTAAGCCTTGATTTCAAATCCCAGTATTGAAAAAAAAAAAAGTCACTAACTTTTTTTGGTGGGGAGGTTAATACAGCCGTTGACAAATGAAAGTCCAAGACATAGTGAAATTGGGAAAAGGCAGCTTGAAATATTGAAATATTCCTTTTTTATACTTCTATGGTGGAAATGGTGAATTCAAAACCCTGCAGGGTACCTTAAAACGTAAAGTAAGTTTAGGGAGGGATGTCTCAGTAATTTTCAAGTACCAAATCCCTAAATAACAGTACTGTATTGGAATGTTAATTAAAGAAGTAAAGAATTCACCTTTTGGGCGAAAGCAGAGAGGACAATTTCAAACTGCTGCATAAAAGCAAAAGCCGAAGTGATTAGAGCCTGTGGCATAGTCCCAACTTCCCCAATTAAGTCAGTTAAAGGAGGTCGCCTTGCAGAAAAATTCTTCAGTAGCCTGAATTCAGCTGAAGAAGCTCCCAGAACAGAACCTAAAATTTTACCATCCACGTAGAAAAACATGGATCGCAAACTTAGGAAGTAACCAATTTTTAGGTTTTCCGTTAGGAAGTAAGTAAAAAAACTAAGTTTTCGTCCTTCAGAAATTAAGAACCCACCTATTTTGTTAATGGAGAAATACGAAAAGAGAGAGAGGGTGGGGTGAGAAATAACTGCTCACTCGCCTGGATCGAAAACTTGAGGATTTCCCTCTAAGATTTGGAAGTCTTTGTGAGAATCAGTAGTTAACGTGTATTTCTGCCTCACTAAAGGAAACTTCCCTCCCAACCGTTACTGCGATTCTCCCGCCCACCGTGTGGCTTACAAGGCGTTTTTAGCTAGAACTGAGTAAAGCAAAGTACCCAGAACAGTCTGAAGTCAGAAGAGTGCCTGCAGAAACAACCAGGAATCACGCCACGTCGCATCCCGGCCACCGCGGTCCCTAAAGAAGCCCATCCTCCCGCTCTTTCCTCCGCGGCTCCCAAAGCCGACCGAATGCTTCGCCTTTTTCCTGCATACCGCTTCCTACTCTTAGCAGGGCAGTGGCGGAGGTGACCCACACTCACCGCTTGAAGCACAGTCGCCAACAGCAACCGCAGCCGGAACGCCGGCCCCAGCCACCCACCCTCCCCGGCAGCCATCGCTCCCATCTATCGTAAATCTCTGGCCATGCGGAGGACCCCCCCCACCACCCTCAGCTAGGGGCGTCCATTCCAGAGCCTGATCCGAAATAGGTTACGAAAGGCCGTTGCCATTAAATATTTTATTTTGCAGAGACGCGTATAAACTAAGAGAATATAAGAGCTTGCAGGTGGCCGCAGATAAAGGCAGTAGCTACGTGTTTTCCATTACCCAAATCAGGCACTTTATTAAATCCCTCACTCCCGTGCTTCTCTTGGGCGCCTTCCTCTCATTCACGACATTTCGTCGAGCAGCCAAGAAATTCGCCTTCGCCAATTTCAGCCCTGCCTCCTTCCCCAAGTTTATCCAATCGACTGCCGTCTTGGTTGAGTCCTGTGGCAGAGGAACCCAACCGTAAACCGAATCCTGAACGAAACGCTGGAGTTCTTCGAGCCAATGAGCACAACCGAGTGGGAGGAGGGGGTGGAGCTTCTGGTTGCCGAGCAGCATACGTAGATGCGTGCGCGTGGTGGAGGAGGGGGATGGGAGGGGGCGGGGCCGAGGGCAGCGCAGCCGCAGCGGTGGTGGAGGAGAGTGCGTCCGCCAGCGAAGGAGGGAGGGAAGGAAGCCGGAGAGAGAGGCGGGCGGGCACCGGGGTCGGGGACTGAGGCAGTAGAAGCCGGCGACAGCCCGACAGCTGCTTCGCGCTGTTGTTTGCTTGCTGCGCGGGCTTTTGGAGGGGACGGCCGTAGAGTCGGCTGCGGAGAAGCAGGCACCGGCGGTGTCGGTGCTGGCGCCTGGGGGGCGGGGGGACCTGAGAGGCGAGAAGGGGGGTCGCTGCGGTGGTTCTCTGCCGGTGGCTCTCCTTGCCTCTCTCCCCGCTCTGTGGGCTCCTCCCGGCGTCTGCCTCGCCTCCGGGGCCCCGCTCCCCGCCCCCCGCGGTATGTCTTGATCCCGAGCGGCGGGTTTCATGGGGCTCCTCAGGATTATGATGCTGCCCAAGTTGCAGCTGTTGGCGGTGGTGGCCTTCACGGTGGCGATGCTCTTCTTGGAGAACCAGATCCAGAAACTGGAGGAGTCCCGGTCGAAGCTAGGTGAGGGGCCGAGCCACTCTGGGCTGAGCGGTGTTGGAAGGGACGGGGCCGGGGAGGCTCTGCAACCGGAGCAAGTGGGCGTTTGTCTAATACCGGTTCTGGCTCCGGGGCTGAGGGGTTTCAGAGAGGGAGAGAGCGGGAGCTGGGACCGGGGAGCAGGAGAGCACAGGCTCCAACAAACCGGGCGAATGGAGCTTGAGTTGGCATGCTGGGCTCGCGAGGTCACGGGCCAGAGGTTGCAAGGTTGGAGTCCGAGGTTCGCGTTCCTGGGGAGAGGAAGAGAGGACCAACTCCGGGTTGCTGGTGCTTCTGGGGGAGACAGAAACACTCAGGTTCGTGTGTGCTGCTTTACAAGTCGTATCGAAAGCCCAGGCAGTGTCAGGAACGGGTTGGTGGTGGTGGTGGGGCGTGTGTTGTGGAGGGCGGGTTCTGATTTGGGATGTGGGCACCTGGGTGCGGAATCTGGTGGGACTGGCGGGCGCGGGAAGGCTCACGATGCGCAGAAGTGGAAGGAGACGCCTGGAATGAGGGGGAGTCAAAGAAATGCACTGTAGATGAGTTGCACCCCTGAGCTGGGGGCAGCCAGGGACCTCACAAATGACGCCAGACGTGGGCTGGCCAGGTGGACGCGAAAGCGAGTGAAAAGCTTTAAAACCAGCACCATAGCGAGGCATCCGGGGATTTATTTATGTCCCTTATTAGTGGCGCTCTGCTGATTAACTTGGGTTTCAGAATAGTTAGTGTTGAGTGTGTAGGATGCTTTGCTGCCTGTTGGTTTAGTGAATTTAGAAGAGGAGGGAAAGCTGAAGTTTACGTTTGTGAAAGGAAAATAAGATTATGGGGAAAGGTCCTTAACGCTGTGGTTAAAGTGCTTCAGTGGGTGAAGGGACCTGAAACAAAAAGTGTGATGTTGTGAGTAGGTGCTTTCGGAGTAGTAGGGAACTTTGGCATTTGGAAGGATGAAGAGGAAGTTTACAGAATGACAGCGATGAATTTTGTTTTGAAAACGTACTGGCACTTAAAAGTCGGCTCAAGAGGTGGTAATTTGAACTGGAAGGTAATTTGAAGTATTTTTTGCATACCCTTTCACCTCACCATTATCTTAACCACTTTTGGAAAAGTAAGCAAAAGCAGTTCAGCAGTACAACTACTACTAGGAAGAGCTACATTCTAGAATTTTTTTTTTTTTTTAGGAAAAAATGTACCAGAAAATAATTGTAATTTTACCTATAGTGCCCTACTACTTCCAAGTTTTGTAGACTTTGCAAACCTTTGAAGACATTTTAAAGAGCATTGTGTCAAGGAATATGAAATAAATCTGATTGAAGTGCAACTGATTCTGAAAGAGGAGCTAAAGATACTCCCAATCTTAAATTCTAGAGTAAAATTTGAAGATCTCTCCAAATTCATTTACTATAATTTTATTAATACGTTTTGATGAAAAATGTTCACTTTAGATATTGAAGGTTGTACGATGTGCTTTTTTCTTTTCAGTTGGATCTTTATGTAGCATTCAGAGTCATTTCAATGACCTTGTTAATTATCCAATTTTACAGAAGTAGCTCCTCCTAGAAGTTGAAAGTTAATTAATTCAAAATTTGCAGTTATTTGTATTGCTATTTGAATTTCTCTGGAGTTAATTTCTTAGACAAATTGGGCTAAAATGACTTAAATTTTTTATTTTCCTTCTTACCTAATATTTTTTCCATAGTACTTGCAAATGGTTTCCATAGAAACAGCCCGAATGATTTTAAAAGGAAAGTAGTTACTTGAAGATACAGAGTGCCACAGGTAGAACATGACATACTTCCTCACAATTTTCTTTTAAAAAAGAAAATTCCATTGGGAATAGTAAGTATTCATCAAAATAAATAGTTTGCATCAGAAAATAGTAAACATGAGTCAAGTAACCCTCAAAAATAATCTGGGGCCAGGTGTGGTGGTTCATGTCTGTAATCCCTCCATTCTCGAGGCTGAGGCAGGCCGAGGAGGGCAGTGAGTTCAGCTTGGACAATCTAACATTCTGTGTCAAAGAAAAATCCAAAAAAAGGAGCCTCAGATGCAAAACACTTGAAGTGTTGAATCTGGAGATAGGATTTCTTGCTATGTTGCCCAAGCTGGCCCAGAACTCCTGGTTTCAGTCTTCCTGCCTCAGTTTCTGTAGTAGCTATAAGTGAGTTCACTTGGTTTTGCTTTTTTTTTTAAAGTAAGTCTTATAAAAGGCAGTACTAAAAGAGACATTGCCCATTTGTAATCTGACCCCTTAGGAAAGAAAGACAGAAGGTATACTTTCATAACCAGACTCCATCACTAGGACACTTCCATCTGGTACTCTTCCAAGGACACCATAGAAAGCTATTTTTGTAGATACAGGATAATCGCGAAATTATATAATTTGTCCAGGACACATCACTAGTAATTGCTAGAGCCAGGATTAGAACTCAGGTAGTCTGATTCCAAATGGAAGGTTCCTTTAATTATGATAGACTTCTTGAAGCTTATTTAGTGTAATTTTTTGGTGGTACTGGGGATTGAAGAAAGAACCTTGCGTTTTGCTAGGCAGGTGCTCTATCACTTGTGACACAGCTCTTTTTGCCTTGATGTCAGGGCTTGATGTAGGGTCTTGCTTGATGTCAGGGCTGACCCGGACTGTAATCTTCCTGTTTGTTCTTTCCCAGGTAACTGAAATGACTGGTCTTTGACACTGCACCTAACCATTGGTTGAGATGGGGTCTCTTGAAATTTTTTCTTTTTTCTGATTGTCAAACCACAATCATCTCAATCTCTGCTTCCTGATTAGCTAGGATTACAGGCATGAGCCACTGCATCTGGATTGGGGCTTGAGATTCTTATATTGACATTACATGAACATTTAGTGTTTGAATAGAATTCTAAAATAGTGGTATCAATGTAATTATTGCTAAGAATGAGTACCATTCTGAGAAAATTCAATTTCTGACACAAAGGAATAGGTTTAGTGAAATGACTGCCCCTTGTTTATATCCATGTAATGAACATAATTGTATTATTCAAGGACATGACTGAAAGAGGCTATTTCAGCTACTGGAGAACAAAATCTTTGTTTTTTTTTTTCCTGTAAGTATAAAATTATAACATTAAAATGCATTTTAAAAAAATTTAAACACTTTGCCCTTAAAAGTAGTTTATTCTTTTTCTGTTGCAGAAGACTCCAAAGGATTGAAATGTCTGATAATGCCTTTACTTTGCTTGATTAAAGGCATTATTAGATAATAATATCTTACTGGTGAGACCTCTAATAGAGCAATAGGTGCATTCAGAACTAAGGCACATTCATTGACATTTGGGAAATCAAGTATGTAAGAATTTCTAAAAACCTCATTATTACAGTTTCCTGTTATATAAGTTTCTCTTTTAAAAACAAATATGAAGTGATTGTATGCATATTACCCTGCAGTTTGCTTTTTTTCATTTAACATCATAGGCATCTTTCCAGGTGAGTCCATATAAATTTGAATTACTCTAATAGTATTATAACACTCCAAATTATGCATGTATTATAAATTATTAAGTCATTTTGTCAGTAATAGATATTCAGTGTGTTTTCAGAAACCACCCCTCCTTCCTTTTTAAGGTTTCTTTCTTGGTATTAAGAACATTATAATAACTATCCTTATGTATCTGTTTAATTCCTATATATCAATGCTGTTTTCATAGACAAATTCTGTGATTGCTGGGGGTAAGGAATTCATGATTTTATGATTTGAACAGATTTGAAAATTTATTTTTCAAATTTTTTTGCTTATTTTCAAAAGTTACAGTAAGCTACCCAGCCAGCACACACAAGTAATGGAAGCTCTCAGCTTTTATTTTTTTAAATAGAAAAACTGTTGGCATTGTTGTGGACTTGAAGTCAGGACCTTGTGCTTGCTAAGGCAGGTGCTCTACCACTTGAACATGCCTCCATCCTCAACTTTTAATTTTTTTGCCATTCTGCGGCTGTGAAATATGTTGTTAAATTAATTCACACTTCCTTAATTTCTAGTTAAGGATTGTTCACATATGTTTACTGCCTTTGTACTTGGTAGTTCATTTTCATTTGTCGATTTTTCTATTAGGTATTTTATTAGTTTTCTAGTTTGGGATTTTTAAAAGTTAAAATTAATAGTTCATCTCTTTTACGTCTTATGGCTTTTTCTTGAACTCATTTTGTCTCTCAATTGTGGTGAACTTTGCTTATATAGAAATTTTAATATTTACACAAATCTATCAGTTTAAGCAAGTAGTCTTCATATGTTGCTTAAGACTTCCCTGAGCCAAGATTGTGTATTTCTCTATATTTGACTAGCGTATTTTATAATTTATTTTTTACATTTAGCTCTTTAAACCCTCTGTAGAGATATGTTGTAATTTCTCTCAATGAATAGCCATTTATGGCAAAGATTATTTTAGTAAATAATCCCTCTTTTCTTAATGTATGTTGATCCTTTTACTCATGTATTAAGTTTTCATATATTTTTAGGTGGATTTTGTACTCCATGTTTTCCACTAACCAAGATTGTTTAAACTTCAGGAACCCACATAGATAGTTTTCAAGGCCATTCATGAATTTTCTAAAATTATGTGCATAGCTTTCATAGATTGTGGAGGAATATGTAATCGCCTTAATGGTAAAAATTGCAGATTTCTTGTACAGTTTGAGTGTTCTAAGTCAGAAAATCTGAAATCCAGAATGCTGTGAAATCAAATTCTTTGGGTACTGGCATGATGCTACAAATAAATAATTCCACGCCTAACTTCATGATGGGTCACTTTCAAAATGCAGTCAACACTAAAATTACATTCAGGGTATGTGTGTATGGTGTATATGAAACATCATGAATTTTGTGTTTAGATTTGGGTCCCATCTCCAGATATCTTATTACGCATGTGCAAATATTCCTGAATCTGACATTTGAAACGGGCCTTCCAGGCATTTTAGATAAGGGACACTCAACCTGTAGATGTTTCATATTTAATGG